GAAATTCTTCTAGCGAGACAAGCTCGCTAACCATAACATTGCCTCGATGTGTCCAGAAATTTTTCAAGCTAGCTTAGATGTGACACAAGTCCGAAAGAATGGGGAACCCAGTGAGGATTGAAGTCCTCCTATATATGGCAGTGATTGCTGAGCAATATCCTCATAGATGAAGAAAACCATGAAGCAATAAGAATGTGGTTCTACAGTTAGCATTTTTAGTGTATATAATAAAGAAAGAGGCCTTGGAAATATTGCTAGTCAATGGTTATTGTAGGCATGTAGATCAGAGGAAAGCAACGCATAACATATTTAGCAAGCTTTGCTAAATGGATTTTGTAGCAAGGTTTAGGCGAGATAAGAAAATGGCAACATTTATTAATGGCAACAAAGGACAAGGTTTTCTGGAGATCCGTAATAGCCTACGTCCTTTTAATTCCGCTATGAAAATAAATTTTTCGTTTTGGAATAAATAAATTCTTCCGGATTTTTTTTAAGTATTTCGCCATTCAATAAACCGTTGTACTAAAGGAAAGTTTGCATAAAGCGACGCAACAAAAGCTACTAGAGAAAAAAAGAAAGTCGGATTTGCTATGATTACCCGTCGCGTCCCATTTTATGCATCGTATTTGTAATATTAATTTAGGGGTCTTAAACGCAAACCAACCAATGGCCGATTTGTCGACAAGGATCAAGTCTTGCTTTTTTCTGTTTCCTTAGACAATTCCAATTATTTGATTAATTCAGTTGTAATTTTACTTACCTTGAAGATCTATTTTTGTTGACCGTTTCCTTTCAAAACTGTTCCTTTTTTGACGTCAAAATACTGTTTTTCAAACTCTGAATATCATTTCTTAAACTTGCCGCATTATTGCCAGAAATCTCAAAGATTCATTGTTGATATTCTGTTAAACGTATGCAATTTATCTGGGATTTTATTTTGGAATGAGAAACTACCATTATTATAAGACTTTCTCACCAGCCGGTTAATCTTGTTTGCTATTATATCAACTTTTCAGCCGTCGTGACATCTGATTATCCTTCAAGTACATGGCTTAGGTGATTAAGGCCTTTGTTCAAGAATATAAGTTTACCTGACTGTCGTGAGTTCGTTCAATAGCTTGATTACTTACTGCCTGGATAAGGAGATTACTTACTTGTGCATGTTGCGGCTTTCATCTCCGGGGATCGGTTGAACCGGCACCGTCAAACGAATTTGCGGGCCCCCGAATGAAAGCCGAATGAGATTGGCGTTCTGATGTAATTGAGTCAATAACAGCTAACCAATTACAGTCCCAAAGGCGTGTCCCGAACACGCTCAGGCCCAGAAACGATTCGATTTCTTCTTTAACTGTCTTAAGCCACGGTTATAGCTGTCCACCACGCCGATTACTCCAACCTACGTGCAAATTCACAATAGGAATTTCAGTGTGTATTTGGATTCATAAGCGGTCCTCAGCCGCATAGAAACGCACTTTACTTCAGGATAGAGCGATCCGATCAGTGATTCGGTTAGAGCGCTGAGACATTCGTTTTCCACACCTAACTTAATTTGGTGTTGCCAAGGTCGCAACGGAAACACATCTGAGGAACTTTGACCGGCAGTGGTGAGACATGAGGTAATTACGTGATCATGTTGTACAGCCTATTTGGACTACTATGTTGGGCAGCAGGAGCTCGCCGTCCCTGTCCAGTTCAAGGCATACAGACCCTTCGACCCCGATAAGGAGATTGTGAGATGTTTACTCAAGACCACAAACGACTGCGAGACGAAAACATTAACGTATTCTTAAATAGTCTTGTCAAATGTAGACTCACGTAGATGTCACGTATGGCGTCAAACCCGTTCAGAAATGCCTGCATGCAACTGCTTTCAAAGTTCAAGAAAGAATCTTACTTATTATAAAACGCAGATTGTGTGTGTGTGTCTGTACGTTTATATATTGGATCGGATTTCCGACATTTTTCAACCGATTTCAACAAAACATCACAGGACTACATAAAATTACCTTGCGGTGGTTCTAACAGCGCCAAAAGTTGGAAAAACACAATTGTTTTTGCACGAAATCAATTTGAAAACACAATTAAGAGGCATCACGAGAATGAAAGGGGGACAACTCATATCGAGTTATACTTATTATAAAACCCAGATTGTTTGTGTGTGTGTGTTCGTTTATGTATGAGATCGGATTTCCTACATTTTTCAACCGATTTCACCAAAACTTCACTTTTTTTTTGGCAGGTAGTGCTTGTTATTGTCTTGCACACTTTTTTCTTTATTTTTACATTCAGAATGCTTTAAAAATTCCATTTACAAGACAATTGTTTATAATAAAATTCTATTCAATCGGTAGACACATAACGATTGAAAACAATGTTTTGTTTGAGTTTGGGTTTCACCAATTCGTAAAAAAAAAAAAAAAAAACTAATTAAGACATGCGTGTCCGTCAACCTTAAACAATAATCTTTGTCAATTTTATTTTTCAGTCTTTATGATGGTCG